AGGGACCGCCCACCCGCCGTCCTCCTGGTCGTCTCCCGCATCCCTGCCCCGAGGGTGGCCGATACTGCAGGACGAGGCCCTCGAGGGAGCAGGCGGATCGGGCGAGGGTCGAAATCTCGCTGCTCGGCCCCCGTGGTGCTCGGTGTCGGCCGCGCCATGTTCGTATCAGTGGTGGCTTCAGATATTTGCTGACTGCGCCATCGTCACCGTCATCCTCGACCCCCAACTCCTCCTCCTCCCCTCCTGCGTCGTCCACATCCACCGCCTCCTCGTCCTTCACCCCTGCCACCTCCGAAATGAATCATCTCAACATACCGCGGCGCACCACTTTGAAAAAGTACGTGTCCGGCACAATGGACACCAGCGAGATGAAGTCTATGAAGAGTGGCCACCTTCCCCCCGCGCAGTAGGGGGGACGCAAAGGGCGGCGGGCGCAACGCGCGCAGTCGTCGCAACCAGATCGGAGGAGGAGGGTCAACATCAGGTATAATTATGAGAAGATGGAGGACGACGACGAGGACGAGCGAAGAGGGGGAGCGGGGACTGGGAGGCCGATGGGGGCAGGGAGGAACAAATGGCAGAAGCAGGTGGAGAAGAACCCAAAGGCGGACGACGACGGACACGATGAAAGAGAAGGTTGGACGAACGTACAAGGAAGACGAGATGAGAAATGGGCGAGTACGACTCGGCTGAACGCCGTACTGGACGTCGGATGAGCGCCGTAACTGTACGTGGAAGACGATGAACATTCTGTACGGCTAGCTCGTCTTCTCGCAAAATTCTGGGATGAACAGCGTGGCCCAACGCCGCGGCCCGAGGACAGACCGAGGGGCAACGCTAGGTGGGGACCGGCCCAGGGGGAGAGACATCGTCCTGGACATCGCCGACCGATCGGTGATAGGCCCCCGAGGGCAAAATCGCACGTCGTTCCTGGGTGGGGTGAGCTATCGGGGCCCCAGCGGCGAGCAGTGGGCGATTGGGGGCCGATGCGTTCATTCTACGCCACGAGGATATATATATATATATACACACAGACACCCTCCGACGAGCTTTGCATGTAATTTCCGGGCTGGGGCAGTGTATACAATCGCTGGCTCTTCGTGGTGATTTGTACACCGCCACCCTCCCCTGAGGCCTAGGAACAATCCAGTGGAGGGCGTCTTTCTATGTATAAACTCATTGTGGCAGACATCTAACCCGGAGCCTTTCCCCCCCCTCCAGGCGTGGCCCCTGCATGCGCCTCCCAAGCAAGCACCGTCCACCCGCACCCCTAGCAAGCATCAACGACCAGTGCACCAGGGCTCGGACGAGATGGTGTTTGGTTCGTTTCCCCGTCGTGTTCCCTTTCCTTCGCTCTGTCTTCGTTCCGGATGTGCTGCGAAGCGACACCAAAACGAGAACGGTCCACGACATCGCCCAAGAACACCGCGGAGCTCGAGCCCTGCGGCGCACTGCGCCGCAGGCCCCGATCGCCGATCTGCGCACCGCGGCCGGGAGCGCGCGCGCGCCACGCAGACCGCGAGGGGTGGACGCGCCTTGGCGGGCGAAGAACGCGCGGCTGGAAAGTTTACACCCCTACGTGGCACCGTAGGGGTGTAAGCTTTCCAGCCGCCCAAGGGCAGGCGTCCCCGACGGCGGAACAGTTTATTTTATACCGATCTTCGCCCGTTCCGCCCGCTGGCGCCACGCCGCGCGCAAGGCGTGGCGGCAGAAGGCCGCGCTCGCCAAGGGCGCCTAACTTTGCGCTTCGCGCTGCACGAAGCGCGAAGCTTCGCGCTCTCGCGCCGCCCCCCAAGGGGGAAAAGGACGAGGAGGCATCGGAGCCGAACCGCGAAGCGCGAACAACCTCGCGCCCTCGAGGGCGCCATTGGCTCGCGCTGCTGGTGCGCTGCGAGCACGGCGAGGTCGGCCAGCTGGCCGTCCAAGCTCTCCGTCCTCCCCCCCCCAAGAGGCCCTCTTCGAAGCCTGCTGGCCCCCAAGAGACCCTCTTCTCCATCCTCCCCCCCCCAAGAGGCCCCCACCTAAGAGGCCCTCTTCGCCCCCCTCAGCGGATCGCTCAATGGATCGCTCCGTGCCTCCCCTCTCAACCTCCTCCTTCTCCTGACTCTTCCTCCTCCTCCTCCTCCTCCTCCTTCCCCTCCCCTCATCATCCCCCCCATGTCCTTCCTCCCGGCCCGCCCTCCAGGCGTTCCTCGGGAAATACTGCGGCTTCGCAAAGGACTGGAGAACCATCTCGAAGCAGAAAAACCCGAATACCACGTTAGTCGTCGCCGCGACGACAATCTCCTCTGCGCGGCGGAGGAGGAGAAGGGGGGATGAGGAGCTGCATGAGGAGGGGGGGAAAGAGAAATGGGGGGATGACAGGGTAGGTGCTGCGCGCGCCATTTCTGACTTCGCACCCTTCCCACCCGGCCCCTCCTGTTGTGCTGAACGCTTTCGCATGCGCCTGCAAGATCCCCCAGATAACCCCATGGTGCGATGAGTGAGCACACGGAGGGGTACATGAGAGGAGGATGAGGAAGCAGACGAGCAAGAGGAAGACGGGGATGATGATGAAGAGCGATTAGTAGGAGGATCAACAACAGCAGAAGAATGAGGAGAGGGAAGAACAATAATGCGGGCGGAAGGCAGGTACGGAATCGAATCCAGACTTGGTCGCAATCAGGAGACAGAGCACCAGCGGCAGGCGGTCCGTATTTCCTCGGGCCTTTACAGGTTGGAGTCGTCTGGTTGCTGTCCTACGCGTAACGCATCTGGCGACCAATGGCGGGGCTGCTGTGGGTGTCGCGATATGGTCTTGCCTTTAGTGTCGTAATGCGTCTGACCCGAATCATGGTACATCGTCGCTATCGATAGCGAGCTAGCTGTACAACACTTTCGGAGTAGGCAGCCGTTATCATGTTGAAGCGAAGGCTTGAGAGGCCCGACTGCATGACCATATCTGCGCTCGACTACCCCGCCAACAGCTCGCTGCAAATCCAATGGATTCACTATGTCGCCTCCTATCACGACGGTCATCCCAGACCCTGTTATGCATCACTTAGCCAGTCCGTGACCAAACTCGACAAATTCTTTACGTCGCAAAATGTGTTGGTGCCAAGTACGCCGCAACAGACGTCAACGTCGACTTCACGTTGGGCACGCCTGACCGCCTGACCTTGAATGGTCGTCTGGGTCGTGTAGATAATCCTTGCCGCATGGAGTGGTATGGGATAAATCAACTCGGCGGAGTCGGGCCACACGACTTGGTAACACACTTCCTTTCCCGCCTTCACATTGCTAGAATTGTGAAACAGAAGCAACGCAACTGGTGCAACCCATTTCTCCGGAAGAGCGTGTTCTACCATTGCTGGCAGAAAACGGGGGGGAGTCACTGGGGGCTTCCATCCCGTCCCCCCTTCCCTCTCGAAAACGGGGGGGGGTCACTGGGGGTTCTAACCCCCCGCTCCCCCCCCCCGAGTCAATCATGAAAAGGAAGGGGGTCACTACCGGTTCGAACCCCTCCTCCCCCCTCCTGGAAAACCAGGGGGGGTCACTACCGGTTCAAACCCCTCCCCCCCTCCACCCCCCCTCCCCCCTTGCCGCAACGACTCCCCCTCCTCTCCCACTCCGGATGGGGGACTGGTGGGGACAGTGGTTGGGACAGTGGTGGGGATGGTGGTGGGGAGTGGGGACGGACAGTGGTGAGGCTGGTGGTTAGGACGGTGGCGGGACAGTTGTACAGTGGGGGAAGTTGTCGGGACAGTGGGGACAGTGGTGGGGACAGTGTGGACAGTGGGGCAGCTCAGTGGGACAGCAGTGGGGACAGTGGGACAGTGGTGGGGACAGTGGGGACAGTGGTGGGGACAGTTGGGACAGTGGGGAGAAGGATCGTGGAGGGGACAGTGGTGGGGACAGTGCGACAGTGGTGTGGACACTGGTGGGGAAAGTGGGGACAGTGGCGGGGACAATGGGGACAGTAGGACAGTGGCGGGGACAGTGGGGACAGGGGGACAGTGGTGGGGACGGTGGTGGTGGGGATAATGGTGAGGGGACACTGGGACAGTGGTGGGGACAGTGGGACAGTGGGACAGTGGTGGGGACGGTGGTGGTGGGGACAGTGGTGAGGGCGGTGGTGAGGACGGTGGTGGGACAACGGGACCGTGGTACAGTGGGGAGAGTGGTGGGGACAGTGGGACAGTGGTGGGAACGGTGGGACAGCTCAGTGAGACAGCGGCGGGGATAGTGGGGACAGTGGGACATTGGTGGGGACAGTGGGGACACTTGAACAGTGGTGGGGACAGTGGAGACAGTGGGACCGTGGTGGGGACAGTGGCGGGGACAGTGGGGACAATGCGACGGTGGTGGGGGCATTGGTGGGGACAGTGGGGACAGTGGTTTGAGCAGTGGGGACAATGGACATGATGGGGTCGGTGGTGGTGGGGACAGTGGTGAAGGCGGTGGTGAGGACGGTGGTGGGGACCCGGGAGTCTTTTGCCGGCGGCGATTGGGGGGGGGTTCGAACCGGTAGTGACCCCCCCGGGTGGTTTTCTGGAAGGAGGGGAGGGGGGTTCGAACCCGTAGTGAACACCCCGGTTTTCCAGAGAGGGGGGGAGGAAGGGGTTAGGGGGGAGGGGGTTTCTGCCGAGAGACGGGGGGGGGGAGGGGAGGGTTCGAGAAAGGGCGAGGTGATTTCTGGATGGGGGGGGAACCCCGGGTTCTGGAGGAAGAGGAGGGGGGAATTTTCAACAGCAAAGCGGCGGTGGATCACGCTATCTCATTTCTCCCGAAGCAATCCAAAGCAGTCCTGAGCAATGCAAAGCTGTGCGAAGCAAACCATTGCTAGGCACAGATTGATGTTACTTGGCATTGCTTGACATCGTTGCTTGGCATTTCTTGGCGTTGATGGGCATTGCATGGTTGTTTCGCAGGCTTGGCAATATTGCTTGAAATTGCTTTGCATTGCTTGGCACGGCTTGGCATTACATGCATTGCTATGCTTGGCATTTCTTGGCGTTGTTTGGTATTTCTTGGCATTGGATGGCATTGGTTTGCATTACTTTGCTTTGTATTGCTCTGCATCGGGTAACAGTCCTTTGCAGCTTGGCGTTGCTGGGCATGGCTGGGCATTGCTGTGCATTGCTTGGAACTGTTTGGCATGGCTTGGCATTTCCCATGAGCCCTGGGCAACGCCAGTGGCCGCCAGCTAAGGCAAAACGCCGAGGAACTCAGAGGAGCCCTGGGAAACGCAAGCGGGGAAGGGTCCTGCAAACACTGGTGTCTTGCACAAGCAAAGAAGAGCCCCTTAGGCATGGCCGAGTTGGGGGAAAAGTGACGTGGTCCTCAGGTACTGTTTTCTTCTTTTGAATGGCGCTGATTAACACAATATCCTACGACTTGAACGGCAAAAGGCTTTGTCGATTCGCATTAGCAGCAGGGCATAACAATGATTCAGATGGTTCAGGCACAGCATGCCATCGATCAGATCGCGATTCTCTCTCCCCTGGCAGAAGGCCTAGGACAAGCCAGTGGCGCCTGCAAGTCGCGAGTCGGTGTAGAGTCCTGCCCCCCTCGCCGTAGGGCATAGTAATTGCCGCGCCGCTCACGGCGGCTGAATGGGTGGGTGGCGGTGGTGGTGCACGTTGGCTTAAGCGTTACAGCTGTGCTCATCTATGGGTCGAGAGAAATGGACAGGCCAAAGAGCCTCGTCTTCGACAAGCAAGGCACTTGACGCATGGCGGCCGCTACGGGCCCGGCCTCGAGAAACGAACCCAACTCGACAACCAGTTAACACGACCCACACCCCGCGCTCAATGTTGAAGTTCGGAATCCACTGATTATAAAGTTCAAGGTTCAACTGACCGAACTAGTAACTGATTTATTTCGGAAGTGAACTTGGGAAATTCACAACTGAACTACGAAACTGTTCGAACTCTGAGGTTCAGTATTGAAGTGCCGTTTCAATAATGGGGGCTTGAAAATCGCGATTGAACATATTGAAATTCAGGTTCACAACCTTGGTTTGAAGTCCAATACTGATACACCATTTCGATATTCAATATTGAGGTTTGGGCTCGATATTGGGGTTTGAACTTCAATGCTGGAGCTTCCGCCCCTCAGGGGCGGCGAGTGATGCGAAAAAGTGACAGTAGGCGCAGGAGGCGGGAGGAGGGAGGAGAAAGGAGGAGGGAGGAGCGAGAGGGAAGAGGAAAGATCAGCGGGGGGAGAGAGTAGGAGAGCGGAACAGGAGGAGCGAGGATGAGCGGTGAAGTGCGTCCACATCCCCTTTCTCCCTCTTCCTCCTCCACAGTCCTCCTCCCTCCTGTAGTTTGGAAACGAAGAGAACAGCCAAGGCAGAATGCAGAAGGAGGAAGGGGAGGAGAACGGTGAAGGGGGGTCGCCGCGGCGGTGATCTCCCCTGCGCGGCCGCAGGTGACGGCACGAAGGCGGAAATGAGCATGTGGGGTAAGGAAGGAAAAAGGAGAAGGCAAGGGACCAGGGTGGCGAGAGAGGGCAGGAGACGAGGGGAGAGCGGGAAGGGGTGTCCGAATTTTTGTCCCCGTACAGCAGGTCGAGGTCGGGTGCGAACAGGGCGAAGAAGGTCAGCAGCAGGAACACACTTGTGAACACGCGGTGCTGCACGAGGCGATACATGGCCTCCCACGCCGTCCAGACAAAACAACGTTGTTATTGATATCAACATGCCCCTCGAATTCCGCAGCCCGTCTTCCCAACTCCGGATAACCTCACTGCGCTGCTCCTCACATGGAACACCTCGTGCAGCATACCCTTCCTCCCGAATCATGCATCCTGCTTTCAAAACTCCGAACCCACTCATCCCTCCTCCTCCTCCTCCTCCTCTTCCTCCTCCTCCTCCTCCTTCTCCTCCTCCTCCTCATGTATCCATCCTTCCCCTTCCTGCTCTCAAGTTTGTGTCTCCGCCCTTTTCTACCCGTCTAGATGTATTGTTCCCCCCTTTTGGTCCGACCCGAATGTTCGCAATACTTCCGCATCCTATACATTCGTTCCCTTCTCATCGCTCGCACTTGCAAGATGCAAATTTCACGGCGCGTGTGTGTATATATCCGCCGATCCGGCGTGTGAGTTTCAAGGAGTCTCAGCTACAGCCTCGAGGCTGAGCTTCAGCCTCTGGGGGGGTCGCCGGGGTGGCTCTGCCGGGGAAGGGGGGGTGGGGGGGGGGGGGGGGGGTGCGAGTTTCCGGCGAACCCCGGGGCCGCTCCGGGGGAGTGGAAGATAGGGGGGGGGGGGGCGCCATGCTCCGCTTTTTCCGGCGCTTTGGAGGAGGGGGGGGGCCCAAGAGACCCCCAAGGGGTTCCAAGAGGGCCCCGAGTCGCCGAAAAATCGCTCCAAGACGCCCGAGATGGCCTCCAGACGGCCCAAGGTGTCTCCAAGACGCCCCAAGAAGCTTCCAAGAGGCCTCCCAAGAGGGCCCCAAGAGGCCAGAATCGTTGATTTTCATTGGTTTTCTCAGGGTTTTTAGCGTTCTTGCCTTTTCGGGCGTCCGACGCTCGAAGACGGCCCAAGAGGCCCCCAAGTCCGTCCCAAGACGGCCCACGATGCTTCCAACACGGCCCAAGAGAGCCCCAAGACGGCCCAAGAGGGCCCCAAGACGGCCCAAGAGGGCCTCTGGACAGCCCAAGAAGGCCCCAAGAGAGCCCCAAGAGGGGCCCAAGAGGGGGACCACGAACCGAAAGAACCGAGCTTTCCGCCCCAAGAGGCCCCCAGGAGGCCCCAAGAGACCCCCAAGGGGCCCCAAGAAGCCCACAAGAGGCCCAAAAGAGGTTCCAAGAGGCCCCAAAACAGCTCCCCAGAGGCCTCCAGACTGCCTCCGGCAGGCCCCCGGTTTCTTCCGCGGCACCGCCCAGGGCGCCACCGGCAGGATGTCCTCCGTCTCATCGTTTTCCTTCAAGTTATCGCCTCTTCCTCATTCTCCTCCTCCTCCTCTGCGACCTCACTCCTATCCCTCAACGATCGCGTCACCGAGTGCCTCTTCTTTGAAACATCCTCGCTCTTCAAACGCACATCCATACACACATGCATACATACCTACATTTAAACACATTTGCATACATAGAAAAACAATCTTCCAGACATACATACTTACATTCACACACATACACACATATTATCATACACACATACAAACATACATACAAACTAAATACATACATACGCGCACAAGCATACATACATACATACGTACCTACACACAGGCACACATGATCAATGCATGCATACATGCATGCACGCGTACATACACACACATATATCGTGAAACTCACCGCGTGCTCGAAACTTGAGAGAGACCGCGGGAAGTCGAGAGAAGCCGCGGAACGAGGCCTCTACTACTACTACCACTACTACCACAACCACTACTACTACTACTACTACCTACTACTACTACTACTACTACTACTACTACTGCTACTACTACTACTACTACTACTACTAATACTACTACTAGTACTACAGGAGCGTTTCCCAACTAGTATGTGTGTGTGGGTGATGCTGTGTGCGCATGTCTGCGGCGCAGGTTAAGTGGTGTGACTGTGTGTGTGCGTTTGAGTGTGCGCCCATAATTTCTGCGTCTGGAGAATAACCCCGAGCGACCCGGATCGGCGGCACTGGCCGAAGGCCACTACAATATAAGAATGTAGCGGCATCCGTCGCGGGAAATCCGTCCGACCGATAACCCGATAATAAAAACGAATCGGTCGACCGATCAAAAAACACACATGATATTACGTTATTGGTATGTTGGTCGATCGGTCGATAAACAGATCTACAGGTTCATTTTAACTTGCAAGCGCAGAAGAACTCCCCGGCGCTCCTGTTAAATCCATCGGTTCATTGGTTCATCTTTGTAGAATTATTTAAGAATCCGGAGTCCTGAAGAAAAAACGGCGGGATCATTTATCGGTTTACCGCTTTATCGGTTTACCGGTTTATCAGTTTATCGGCGTGCACCCTCCGAGGAATCCTTCGGGGTCATCCAAGGATCATTCGGAATGCTTCGGGGGTCTTTGGAGTCCATCGGGGTCCTAAAAACTGCTTTAGAATTACCGAAAACCTCAAGTGCATTGAGAATCTGGAGGGACAGCCAAAAATCAACCTCCGGACCCGTCCCGGGGTGCGTCTGGGCCAGAATTTAGAAAGGGAGTCCAGCCGTGGCCGCGAGGATTTCCCTGGATGCCCAACGAAATGTGGCAAACAACAAAATCTTCGATCCTCGAAGATAGATCCTCGGATCCTCGAAAATCGACCCGCGATCCTCATCCAGGGATGCGTCTGGGCCAGAATGTCGAAGTGGACCCAGTCTAGGTGCCTCCCCGAGGCGCAAAAATGCACGCGAATGTAAACCAAAACCTTCGAACTCAAAGCTCGAAGCTCGCCGAGAAAATCTGCGAATAATCAGCGAAACATCGACGACGACGCCGGCGGAAGACGGCCCGCTGTACTGCGGCTGGTTCCGGGCCCATTGTCCGGGGGCCCAAAGTCTGCAGGGCCCCGCCCCTGGGGGCCAACTTCACGTCCGGGGTCCGTATTTGTTGGTTTCCAGGGGCCCCCAACGGCCCCCAACGGCCGAAGCCGCCGAAAGGCCGCCGGGATTGAAGAAATCAAATCACATCGACGGAGATCTGGGGGGACCGTCGGGAGGACGGCCTGCTGCACCGCAACCTATGCTGGGCCGAAGTGGTCCGGCCCGGGCGCCGCGACCCCCGCGGCCGCGGGGGCCCGCGCCGGCGCGCCGGCGACGCCCCTCCCCATTCGTTGGAATCTGCCCCCGCACCTGGTGCAAGAACCCCTGCGTGCCCAAGGTAACGGCCCAATTCCCAAGCATAGCGATGCTGCGCTCGCCGTTGGCGAACGCGAGCATAGCCGGCTTCCCCGCGACCCGCGGGCGCCCCGGCTGCAAATGGCGCCGTGCGCCGTCGCGATCTCGACGTCGACTTGGCCACTGCGCTCGCGCGACGCGACGCAGTTCAACGACCCCGTCAGCGTGGCGCCCTCGCAGGCGCACCCCTACAATCGCCGCCCCTCGTCGGCGTCCAGCAGGCGAGGGGGGTCTTGCGAATGGGCGGCATCGCTGCGCCGAACGTCGCAGTCGTCGGCTCGCGGGAGTGCGCCCCGTCGGCGGCCCCCTCCCGCGCCGCGGCGCGGTGCTCCAGCCGGCCCGCGTTACTCGCGGCGCCTTGCATGCGCGCGTCGGGCTGCCAGTCCTCGCGGGGCGCCACCGCGGCGACTGCGGCGCGGAGGGGGCGCGGGGGCAGAGGGCGAACCAAGGGGCCGGGATCCATTCCCACCCCGCCGCCCAACGATCCCTGGGGTCCCCCATATCTCGCACTGCCTCTCGGGCCCCCCGCTCGTCCTGCACGCCGCTGAAAAGACCCGCTGGGCTCGGAAAGAGGCGGCGTCCGGCGCGGCGTCGAGAACCGCAAATGCAGCCAAGGGCGGGTCTGGCACCGGGGCCAAATCGCCGCCATTCGACGCAGTGTCCGCGCGCGCCAAGCCGAAATCCGCGACTGCAGGGCGGCGCGGCTGCGTCTGCGACGGCGAGACGGACTGGGGCGGCCCGCTGCCGCGGGGCGACTCGGCCGCGACAGCGGCCGCAATGGGCGACGCGGGCGGCTCGACGGGCGACTCGACTCGGCCAGGGCGCGGGAAGGCGGCGACCTCGGGCGGATGGCCCCGCGGATCCTACGCCCCCCACCCATGGGCGGTGGGGGCCCGGAAAAAGGCGGCGCGCCTGCCCGCGCGTGCGCGGGGGTCCGCAGACTGCGCCTGCCCGAACGGAGAAACGACGACTTGCTGCTGCAAACGGGCTTCCATCGACTGGAGCAGCGGCCCGCGGTCATGCGCTCCAGGCATGGGAAGTTGGCGAACTCCACGCCGCGCGCGCTCGCGCGCTCATGCGCGCGTCAACGCAATGCTTGCGGCGCGTGCGCAGGCAACCGAGTTTGACGATATCGGTTCCACTGTCAAGTTCCGCTAAACAAACCCCGCGCCCCCCCCCTTTCCGAGGACGTCGCGTCTGCGGATTTCGCCGAGGATGCTGTTGCGGCGGCAATGTGCGCCGCGGCAGCGATCCGCGGCTTGCGCCGCAGCGGACGCTTGATGCAGCGGCGGTTTATGGGAGAGAGAGGGGGGGGGAGTGGGGCGGCGCCGCGCGCCAGGAGTGGAGGCGACAACGCATGGAAATTGTTGACGCAAAAAGAATTCGAACAGCCCGTCCCAAAACAGCCGCGCTTGCGACGTGAAAGGCGGGGGGCACGCGGAGGAACGATAGGCGCGACATATCGTCGCGCCCCAAGAAGGAGAAAAAGGATGACGAATCGAAGGGGGAGGAACAGGAAGGAGAGGAGGTCGAGGAGGAAGAGCGGGAGCGGAATGTGGAGGAGGACGACGAAGAAGACGACGAGGATGGGGGGAGGAGAAGGCGGGGGAGGGGGCAGAAGGAAAATGCGAAATAGGCGGGCGATGAAGGGGAAGTTGGACATAGGGTGAAATGAGCGTAGATGGCTTCATCCGCAAGAAAACAAATGTATTCGCAAATAATCGCGAAGTAATCGGGCACGGGAGCTGCAGCTACTGGCCCCATATCAAAATTGGAACCCAAGAGTCCACCACTTCCGCTGACTCGTAAGCGAGCCGCAAAGTCTACGAGGATGGTGGTCCTGGACGTCCTCCTCCTCGTCGGCGAAATCGCTCGGCGTTTAGACCTATGTAGGCCGATCGCCGTTCTGGCTTGAGGTCGTCGGTAACGCTGTCACCGGAAGACCTGAACCCACCCTCATCATTCTGCTGGGTCCCGCCAGTTGTATAGGTAGCCGCCGTAACCAATCGGGTGTTTCCAAGGGCCTCTGTGACACGGTCACCATAGTGTCTACATCACCTGGGCTCGCTCGGTCCCCGGTGTCGTAGTGGACGAAGTCTCGGATCCTTGACTGTAGGTCGTCACCGGGAACGTGAAAGCCCCGTCGATCGACCGTCTGACGCCCACGGCTACGTCCACAGGCGGAAGCATTGGCGACCGTCAGTCCGCGAGCGCTCGCAACACTGTTACGAATCGCCTGGGAGTAGAAGAAACCATATTTTGAAATTTGGCGAGCATTCCATGTAGGATATTGAATTCGTCACATTCATACTCGCATGTCTCAATGATGGCGGAGGTCAGCTGGTAGTTGTACGAGTTCAGGTCCGAAGTTCAATGTTGAACATCGGCAAGCGTCTCCTGTTTTTGAAGCCATGAAATAAAATTGGCGCTCGCATTGATGTCGCTCTTACTGTCGAAAGAATTCTTGATATCGAGAAAACCAGAGAAGCCGGAGAAACCGGAGAAGCCGGAGAAGCCATAGCGGAGAAACCAAACAAGCCAAAGAAACCGGAGAAACCCCCAGAGATACTGGAGAAGCCGCAGAAATCGGACAACCTGGCACCTGGAGAAAGCGGATAATCCAAAGACGCCGGAGACACCAAAGAAGAGCCGGAGATGAGATGCAAGAAAAGCTGGAGAAGCCGGAGAAACCGAAACGGGAGAAGCCGAATAAACCGGACAAACCGACAAAACCGAAGAAGCCGGAGAAGCCCGAAATGCCGGAGAAGCCGGACAAACTGGAGAACCCTCTGGAGAAACCGGCCGTAATTATAGTAGTGTTCACTACTCCGTCCAGGGCGGCAGATATCGATCCAGAATAAGCACAGATGATGAACCTGCCTCCCGAATGAACCCGAAGATGCGGATGGACTGATAACAGGGCTGAGGTTGAAGGGGGGCTGCGGAATCAGGGTTCGCGCACCGAATAAACCAATAAACCGACAAACGCGATCAATACTGAAAACGGGGGCGAAGAACGGGTTCAGCGGTGGTGTGGTGGCAGGGGCGTGGCTACGCACCGAATAAACCGATCAACCGATAAGCCGATAAACACTATTGCGCGGGCCGAGATGTTAGGGCGGTGTCCTTAGGGCTGGGGCATAGCTACGCGTCAATTACGCCGATAAGCCAATACACCGGTAGACGCAAAGGGAACTGAAAGACCAAAGGACGGGTTGATTGGTTTACCGGTTCGTGCGGTCATCGACCGATAACCGGTATACAAATGTCGGTTTATTGGTCGACGAACAAATCAACCGATAAACCGATAAATGATTTCGGTTGATCGGCTTATCGGTTTAGTGGTTGGTGCTTGCACTCCTGCGCCTGCAAACTATATGCATGCATGAGTGTATGTATGTATGTGTGTATGTATGGATAGATGGATGTATGCATGTATGTATGTATGTATGTAAGTATGTTTGTATGTGTGTATGTATGTACGCATGTCCGTATGTACGTATGTACGTGCGTACGTACGTATGTATGTATGTATGTATGTATGTGTGTATGTATGTATGTATGCATGCATGCATGTATACATGTATGTATGTATGTATGTATGTATGTATGTATGTATGTATGACAATGTATATGTATGTATGTATGTATGTATGTATGTATGTATGTATGTATGCATGTATGCATGTATGTGTGTGTATGTATGTATGCATGTATGTATGTATGTATGTATGTGTGTGGATGTGTGTATGGATGGATGAATGGATGGATGGATGTGTGTATGTGTGTTTGTATGTATGTATGTATGTATGCATGTATGTATGTATGTATGTATGTATAGGTGCATGTCTGACATGTATGTATACATGTATGTTTGTATATGTATGTATGTATGCATGCATGCATTCATGCATGCATGTATGTATGCTTGTGTGTACGTATGTATGTATGTACATATATGCATGTATGTATGTATGTATGTATGCATGTGTGTGTGCGTTTCCCCAACTGAAGCGATCGTTCACCCTACACCCCGAATTCCCTCACTTCAGTCCAATTCAAATCTGTAGCTGCTGTTTGTAGTTCCTGGGTAACAGTCGTTACCCAGAGGAGGGTTCGTGCGAGAGGGTAGCGGTACTGGCGGCCGCGGCGTGCACCCCCGCCAAGGTGCGTCCGCGCATCCTGCGCATCAATCGCCTTTGCACCACGCACAGTCCCTGCGTACCCGTCAATGGCCAATGCCAGCGTGCAACACAGCGCAGCCCGTGTACACCAGTGCCTCCGTACACCACAACAGCCACGTGCACCGCAGCACCGCAACAGGTGGGGAGCCGCGAGCGCCACAACACGTTTGTGAGCACCAAAGCACGCCTTTCAGCACCACGCCATCCCCATGAGCACAGCGACATACCTGCGAAGGGTCCGCCCCCCAGCATGCAGGGGGTGTCCAGGCCCTCCTCCACGATCATTGACATTACCTGAGAAAAGGGGGTGGGTGTTTGGCCAAGGTGACGAGCGTTACCCTGGGAAGGACACAAAACGCTCACTATGAGCCCCTCACACTCAAGACCCAAAGCCCGAAAACTTTCTCGCGACGCCAAATTCCGCAGTAGGCGTGCAAATGCCGGGAATCGCGAACAAACATCAGTCTCCTTTGTTCAGGCCGCTGGGTGTCTGGGAGAGGAGCAGGGAGCGAGGCGAGAGGAGGGAGCGAGGGATGGGGAGGGGGGAAAAGGAACGCTATGGCGAGGCGCGAGCGAGCTGGAGGAAACGGAGGCATCGAGGAGGAGGAAGACGGGAGTGGGGAGGGAGAAGGAGGAAGGGCGAGGAGGGGACGAGGAGGGGGGAGCGAGGAAGGGACGATGAAGCGAGGACGAGGGAGGAGGGGCGAGAAGGCGACGAGGACGAGGAGGACAAAGACTTGAGTGCCAGCAAGACGTCCCGGCCCCGCCAGGTGTGCCCTCTCTTGCCAGTAGCCGGGCTCTCCCTGGGCAACGGCTTCCTCGTCCTCTTCCTCCTCCTTCTCCTCCTGCCCTCACTACATTTCGTATCAATTTATCCATCATTCCTTTTCCTCCGCCTTGTCCCTCCCTCTCTTCCGATTCCTCCACTTCCATCCTCATGCTCATGACCACCGCGACCATCGCCATCATGACCATTACTTCCCCCGCCTCCAACCATTCCCTACACTTTCGCTTCTGATACCTCCCCTCCCCCATTCAATAAATGTTCATTGTAAGCAGATCCTTCCTGCTACCCCCCCAAAACGCATGGCGTGCCGGGAGTTTCGCCTGAGATGTCCTCACCATCTATGTTCCCGAGGCTTGGCGTTTGCAACCATTCCACGGATGGAGGGCGAGCGTTTCCCAAATGTGGCTCTCGCCCTTCGCACCGCGCACATTCGTTTGAACAAGTGCAGCAGTTCGAATGATGGACGGCGGCTCTTGTTCAAAATGTGGCTCTCGCCTTAGCGTCGCGCACTTTGTTTGTAGGATACGCATGGCCGAAGTCCCAAGAATGATGTTCTGGCAAGATCTAGGACTGTCAGGATACAGCCGTCACATTGGTTCGCGGTGTTGAAGTCCCAGGAATGGTTTCGGGCACGATCTAGAATTGTCAGGACGCGGCGCTGATTTCCCAGGAAACATGTTTTGGCACGATTGAGAACATCCTAGCTTCTCGACGCCTCCTCATCTCCCCCATGGCCTCCTTCTCCTCCGCCCTCTCCTCCTCGTCCTCCCTGTCTCCTCCTCTTCCATCTGACCCACTCCTTCCTCCAACCAACTCGCACCCCACCTCATCCTGCTACCCCTCCTCCTCAATCTCTCCTCCTCCCTCCCTCTTCCTGCACCAGCGACCTCTTTTGACGCAAGCGTTGAACGGTGCTGGATCATTGGCGAAATGGACGTGGTGCTAGCCGCACAAATATTGCCCTCCCACCACCTCCGTGGCTACCGAGGCGAAGTTGTTGCCCTTCCGAGCAATCTAGCACGGTCAACGGCCATGGGGTTGCCCTCTCTTCGGGCTACCAACCGGCCGCTCTGGACCTCGTGGCAGGTCGGAATGGAGTCGGGTGAGTGCGGCGGAGCCCCTTTTTCCTCAGATGCATCCAGTCCCTTATCCGCTCGCCTGTGCGGCCAAGTGCTGACGCCGTCCCGCCTGCCCCGTCGGGAGGGTCCTGGCTGATTTTCTGAGCGCCCCAGCGCCCGAGCAGTCTTGCCCAGCCTCCCGCCACGAAATTCTGCGGCACTGCGTGCCGTCTTTGGCGCTCGTGCTGTGCCATGCTGAGCATGCCTGCAACTGCAGCCAGATGTGTGCCGCCCGACAGATGATGACAAGTCATGGCTAACCTCCGAATGTGTTTTGAAGCTCCGTCCGCTCAGGTATGATGGTGGAGGCGCGGCAACATAGACAGAAACAAATGGCATATCGGCCATTCCCTGCCCCGCTCACCCCCCACACCGCTCCAGCCCCCTTCCCGTGCGTTCCCTGCCCCTGCGAACCCTGCCGCCGCCCCCCCGCTTCCCCTCGTCGTCTCCTCTCCCATTCCCTCTCCTCTCCTCTTGCCCAATTCCCTCTTCCCGTCTTCTCCTCGAACCCCGCCCCCTCTGCACACCGCATGTACCCCCGCAACCTCTGCAAGAACACTCTTCCACTCCAGCGCTGCCCGGTGCAACTCGTCAGCCCCATGCTGTACCCATCTCCCGCCAGAGATCCCGCATCAACAACTTCAACTGAGACGCGCCATGTAATGAGGAAAGAAGCACATGGGGGAAAACGCATTGGGCGTACGCATACGCATGAAGGCATGCGTGCATATTCGCTGCGGCTGTGAAATCCTGATTCAGTTCTGCCACCTTTATCCAGCATTAAAAAAAAGCAAGGGCGCGTCGGACCGCGTTCGACATGTTTGAAACAGACCACACAATGCCGCCGCGTAACCCCTCTCACACACACAATGGCTCCTTCTGGCTCCACAATTACACAATATGAATACCACTCCCCTCTCTCCTCTGATGACGTCCGGAAGATGTCCTGCCCCCCTCCGCGTACCTTTCTTTTTTTCACGCAAGATTCCAGGGAAATGGGTGTTCGTTTAGTTTGTTGATTCAAGATTTTGCTCCCGGTATAGCGCTGGCCTCATTTTCGGGCTTCCGTTCGTTCCGAATCGCGCTCCCGCTGTAGCGCTGGCCTCATTTCCGCGCTTCCGCTCGTTCCGAATCGTGCTCACGCTGCAGCGCTGGTTTCATTTCCGCGCTTCCGCTCGTTCCGAATCGTGCTCCCGCTTCAGCGCTGGCGTCATTATTTCCAGTGCCATACCACGGCATGGTTTTCGGTCCTTCCAAATCGGCCCCAAATCTACAAAATGCCCCCCCGAAAAACCATCGAAGTGACCACACATTCGGTGTCGGTTCGTTGATTCCTTGGGCCGCAGAAGCCACCCCCACTTTGGGGCGTCAACACGCATAGGCCATGGTACGCGTTGATATTCAACACCATGCTATGCCACGTAATGCTATGCCATGCTGCAACATCCGGCTGTGCGAAGAGAGAGGATCTCTACGTCATGGTAAGGGATGGGACGGAGGGGTAGGACGTCAGATATGACGCGAGCGCACCTAGCCTGCCTGTACCACTCTCTCATTAAGCCGTTTGCATCCTCTCCTGCTCGCTGCTCCTTCACGTCCTCTCCCCTTCTTGGCCCGTTCCTTCTCCTGTGTAGCGAGACTGCGCGGCGCCCGTTTTCGGGAGAGCTTCTTCATGACGTAGCTGGACTTTTGCGTTTGAGGGGCCTTGGCTGGGGGCTGAGGCTCTCCAGCAACAACACCATCCTGCTCGTCCTTATCCTTTTCCTCGCCCATCTAATCCTCCTCTTCCTCCTCCATCTCGGGAAAGGGCGAGGGGAAGAGGAGGAAAACAGAGAGGGGGAAAACAATAAAACGAGGACGATGGGGAGGGGAAGAGAGGAAGAAGAGTCGGCGGTGAGGTGTGGGGGGAAGAGGTGAGGGCGGGGGGGGGAGGGGAACAGTACCGGGGGAACGTGGTGTGCGGGGAGGAGGAGGGTGGGGCCAGGAATGTTTTTCCGTTTCAGCAGGCGGAACGGGAGCAGGATATAAACAAGTAGAGGAAGAGCAGGAGGACGAGGGCGCGCTGGAGGAGGGTACGGTAGAGACGGAGGTGGATGAAGGTGAACGGAGATAACGTGAGAAGAATGTGACTCCCCCGTCAAAGTGCGTATCCCTGCCAATGTCCAAACTGACTCCCGTTCCCTCCTCTCCATCTCCCTCTCATTCCACTCCTCCTCTCTTCCGCTCCTCGGGATCGTTCCACATCCCTCCCTGTTTTAGCGGGCGAAGACGGGTATCACATAAACTTACCAACTATTGGCAACGCCTGTCGCAGGGCGGCTGGACAGTTTCTACCCCCAGCTGTCACAGTATGGGCATACGCTTCCCAGTCGCCCAAGGACAAGCTTCCCCCATGGCGGAACAAACTATCTTGTACTGCTCTTCGCCCGCCAACTGTTTCCACGCCCGTCATCGCTGCTTCCTCACTGCTCCCTCTTGTTCCCTTTGTTCCTCCCTCCTTGCTCGGCTGTCCCCCTTTGACGAACTCGCTCATATATATATATATATATATATATATATATACATATACACATGTCTAGGTGCACAAAAACATACATTCCGTTCCCTGCTCCGCCCTCCTACCCCTCCTCAGTCCCTCGAAAACGAAACCGGACTTGGACAACTCGGAGATCTCTAGGATGCGGCGGATTTGAAACATGTATCGGGTGCCCGGGCCGTTCCAGAGCGCGTCAGAACGCTTTGAGGACGTTCCGTAACGCTCTGGAGCGATTCATACTAGTCCTAGCTCCGTCCGACCCTCCCTTCTCCTCCTGTGCATCGGGGGTGGCCCCCAAGGCCACGCGCCCTTGCTGCGAGCTGACTCCATCAAGCTCGGAGCCTGCCAGAGGCGGTCCCCGCGGGGACACCCATGCGGCCCGACGTGCGCGCCGCTCGCAACAGTCGCTCTGGGCATGAGCCGCCGCGCGGTCCTCCGCATCGATGGCGCGCGGGATCTGCGCAACCTCGGCCCTGGGGCCGCTTGGACGGCGCAGCGCGCCTGCTCTTCGCGGCAGGCTTCTTGCAGGCGCCCTGATTCGACGCGCCGACGCCCGAACCGCACGCCACGCCCGGGCCCAGGCACTCAAGGAGCGCCGTCTGGCAAGGCACGATGTCGAGAGGGAGAACGCATGCACCTCTGAAGGAACCGTGCAGCCCACTGCAACGAGAAACAACGGATGTCGTGAGATGGGACGCACGCCTAGTGAATCATCTGCACGACGCACACGAAGTCAGACATGTACAAACACGTGCAAGAACACCGCTTGGAACTGTATGTTAGGATGCGTCTGGTAGGTGAGGTACGCAACTAATATAGCAAGTGTGACATGCATGCTGTCAAATCAGATGATTATAGAGAGCCGCACGGCGATACGATTGCATTTGCGCTTGGGATTCGCGATCGGGCACGAGGGTGAGGACGCACAGCAATGGTGCAATGCTCTTGGACGTCCAGGTGGACCGAATGCGCTGGCATTCATGCCGAAACAATTGATCAACCGAGGATGGGCCGAACTGGCAAGGTTGCGAGGGCAGAGTAGATAGAAAGCTGCATCATTGCTAAAAGGGCTATGCTACAGAGGGAACGGTACCGTCATCGTGCTGCCAAGAAGAACGCCGAAACCGAGCAACAAAAAACAAACCGACTTTTCTGGCCGCGGCGGGCCCCCGATTTACACCTGGTGAGCGGCACGAAGGGCAGGGCCCCTCCTGAGCCAGACGCCGCCCTTATATTGTCGTACAGTCGGACTAGGGACAGAACAGCATCCCCAACCAGCCCAACTGCAGAAGTGTCAGCCGACATCTCCCCCCAGCCATCATCCCCAACCTAGGACAGAAGACCTAGGACAGAAGAACATACAGTCGGACCTAGAACATGAGACCCTCCGCCGGCCAAACTGGAGAACAGTCGAGTGCACCCTCCCCGGGGATGCACAAGAGCATCCACCAAACACGAAGAACATGAGGGTAGCCCTCCCCGAACCGACCTCGATCTCATAATTACCTCGGCCCGACAGTATTGACTGCATGTTGGGAATAATCCTAAGGATTCGATATACAAGGTGTGATTCGGGTCAAGCGTGCACAAGTCGGCGGCGAGCGAGGGGGGAAGTGAGAAGGCGAAGGCCTTCTCGGAAAGTTACGGGACTTTTCAGAAGCCCTCGCGCCTTCCGAGGAGTTTTCTGTGTTTGCCGGGGGGAAGGCTCAGAAAAACTCTCAGAAGGCAGGGGGACTTCCGAGCCTTCTGAGACAGCCTTCTCCTTCTCAGTTCCCCCCTCCCTCGACGCCGACCAAGACTCAGTGCCCGTCTGGACGCTCATCCTCCGAATGCTCTCCCCTGTGCGCCGCCTCCTGGCCAACCGCCCTGGCTAGGGCCGCCTCTGGCCCGAAAATGCTCGTCTGTGCCTCCTCCTCACTGTCCCTCCTCTGGCCGACCTCTCGCGGAGGAATATGGAGGGCAGATCGGGGCCTTCGGGTTGGGTTGGGGTGGTTTTAGTGGGCGGTGAACGATTCCAGGCCTGGGGAGTCTGAGGCCGCTGCACTCACCCAAAGGTGCGGAAATCAACACTATCCCGGCAAAGCAACCTAACAGCGATGTGTAGGAGCATATCTGGAAGCATTCCCCTTAAGATTCAAATGAGAATCCAGTTGTAGAGTTCTGCTGCTCTCGCAGTCGTAGTCGCATTCGCGATGACAGTCGCAGTGGCAACGGCAGTCGCAGTCACAGCCTCAGCCTCAGCCTGCCTCAGCCTCAGCCTCCGCCTGCCTCAGCCTCAGCCTGCCTCAGCCTCAGCCTCAGCCTGCTTCATCCTCAGCATCAGTCTGCCTTCAGCCTCAGCCTCAGCCTGCCTCAGCCTCAGCCTGCATCAGCCTCAGCCTCAGCCTCAGCCTGCCTCAGCATCAGCCTGCCTCAGCTTCAGCCTCAGCCTCAGCCTGCCTCTGCCTCAGCCTCAGCCTGCTTCAGCCTCAGCCTCAGTCTGCCGTCAGCCTCGGCCTCAGCCTCAGCCTGCCTCAGCCTCAGCCTGCATCAGCCTCAGCCTCAGCACGAAGCAACCCAGCTAGAAGGACAAAGCGCTGAATGTACACCGATGTGTTCGACGACTGCGTATGTAATGATGTGACGATATACAGACTGAGCCCTTCGTGAATGTCTACATGTTTTTCTGACGCCTACAAACGGCGCTGACGTGTGTGTGAAAAGTGTCCGCGCAGCAAAAGCCGGCGAAGCGTGCAGACAGCCAGCTGCAAAAGGTTGCGAGCGGCTCTTGGAAGACGTTTACGGAACGGAGCTACGGTGTCTGAAAACAATGGCATCGAAGCGAAGAGCCTCGGAGCCCTGCAGCCTGAGAAACACCGCAGGAACTCGCATACTGAAAAGGAATGCATTGCAAACCGCACGTTGCGAACCCTGCAGGCTGAGAAGCACCGCAGGATGTCGCATGCTGAAAAGCACTTGTACTGCAGAGCGCAGGCTGCGAAACCTGCAGGCTGAGAAGCACCGCAGGAACTCGCATGCTTTCGAACACTACTGCTCGAGACCGCAGCTGGAGAGCGGCAGACCGCAGGCTGAGAAGCACCGCGGGCAGAGAGACTTGCAAAACTCAGATGTCCTGATCGTCTTGGAGGAAGTCACGCCAGTCCGGCGGCTGCCAAGAATCGATGATGCGCCTGGAGCCACCGCCCGTGCTGCCGCCGATGTCCAGGTAGTCGCCATCGCCCCTGAACAGACGGCCGTGCCCGCACGCCAGAATCGCTTGGTTGCGGATTTGAAGCAGCGCTCCGCTCTCAAACATCTGCAACACGTCCTGCTGCCTGCGCGTGAAGTTCGGCTTTGCCTGGCCAGCCTGGGCAGACAGATATAGGGAAAGCCGCTCCCCCTCGTTGTAGCGCGCGATGGCCTCGGCCTTCTGGTGGTGCAGCCGGCGCCGCTGTTGCCGCAGAGCTTCCTCGGGAACTGCTGCATCACGGCCCTCACTGTGATCAGCTTGCAACGCTTGCGTTAACCAATCAACGTCGAAGCGCCCTGAGAAGGCCAGCACCTCCCAGATCTGTTTAGTACCGGCCACACGTTGCAAATGGCGATGCCACCGCTTACGCTTCTGGTCTTTCACAAACTTGGCGACGCTACCCAGACCTGCACCCTTGGCCTGGCCACCTTTTCCCGCAGGCTGAGAAGCACCGTGAGAACCTTTCTTACCGCCTGGCCCTTTGTTCGGACCCTGCGGAACCGCATGGCCCCCTTGTGGCGCAGACTTGCCTTTCGCTTTTCCCTTTTCGATATCCCGTTCCTGAAGCGCACGCTGCTGCCGCGACTGCTCGTACTGGTCGCGAGCTACTCTGACCAATTCCTGGCGCTCAGGCTCCGTGAGAACGTAGCGCATGTCGTCGATGTTCTTGCTCCGCAGAAAGTCATGTCGAAGCTTAAGGACAGAGAGAATGGCTCGGCCAGTCTCCTCCTGAGACGCAAAGGCCGTGTCATATTCCGAGCCAGGCTGAGGAGCGCCAGCTGGATCAGTGTCCGCTGGCTCCGTGGACTTCCTCTTTTTGAAAAGCAAGAGACTGAGATGATGGAGGACTTTCGGATCGTACTCCTCGTCGTACCTGTCGTCCCAAAGCTGCCTCAGCTCCCTGTGCAAGTCGTCCGCGCGATTCTGAACGACATCCTCGACGTAGTCGGGATCACCCGGTGAAGTCGGTGAAAGCGGAGGAGCAGAACTCGGCGACCGATCCCAATGCACAGAAGACTCGCGGTCCGCCTGTACGCTGACGTCGGCGTCGGAGACGTTTTCGACGACAATTTTCCGCCTCTTGCTCTCCCCAGGCTGAATAGCACCAGGGAGAGTGAGCACAACCGCCACCGCATCGTGTGCGTCGTTGCGCATGCCACGATCCGTAAAAGACGCGCCAACGGCAATGGAGCAGAAACGGGCGACTGCTCCGCAGACCGCGACGTGGTCGCCTTTGAGGTCGGCCGGAGTGGCATGGACCTCCCATACCTTCTCGTCGTTCTGCTCGCGCTGGTAAGCCTCCCGCGCCTCCTGGAAAGTGAGGTTGTCGTCGCCGACTACAAGCACAACGACTGCCTCGTTTAGATTCTCAAGAATCTTGGCCAGGCCGTCCAGGTGCAAGCGGAGATGGCGAACTGTCCGCTTTCGAGTCTGGATGCTCGGCGGTTTCTTGCCGCACACGATGTGCATGTTGGCGATCACCACGTGGAACTTGTCATGGCCTGGTTTGTTCACCTCAAAATGTGAAATAACAGCATCAATATCTCGGCCGCTAGGAGGCCTGTAAACTTTGCTGTCTTCGCACAGAGTCAGTTCCGCAGGCTGAGAAGCACCGCGGAACCCCCAGAGAGTCAAGTAGTTGTCGACCTCCAAGAAGCGAATGCCATCACCGAAAGGCTTACTGAGGATGTCTGTCACGTTGATCCCTGCTCGGCGAAAGCCTTCACGGAACGCACCGACCTCGCAGCCACAGACCATATCAGCATCAGCGGTCTCCACTATCTTGGCGCACAACCTTCCGAAGTTAGCGCAGTGAGTGGCCGCCTGCTTACCAGTCATCATGCCCTGCTCGAACCCGAAATTGAACGAGGCGACCGTGAAAGACGCAGGCTGCACAGCGCCAGAACCAGGCGTCTGTCCACCTTCCTCCGCAGGCTGAGAAGCACCGCGAGGCGGCGCAGGCTGAGAAGCACCGCGAGGCGGCGACACTTCGGACGAGCCTCGCGGAGCAGAGGCTGCGGATGAACGTTGGACATGGGGGTACGGCCAGGGGAACGCCATTGCAATCAAAACTCAGTGGACTGCAGTGAATGAATGTAGTGGCCAATTGAATGCAGAGGACTGCAGTGTCACTAGCAAGTCCTGAACCAAACACAGCTGTGGCGGAAGGAATATGAAGCGTCTGGCTATTCAAAATGTTGCCCGGCAATGTCCTCCTCCTCCTCCTCCTCCTCCTCCTCGTCCTCCTCCTCCTCCTCCTCCTCCTCCTCCTCCTCCTCCTCCTCCTCCTCCTGGTAGTCCTCCCCCTCCCCTCCTCCTCCTGGTAGCCCAGGAATGGGAGTTTTGGGAACTCGAAGAGCACGAAGTGGCCTACAGTTGGCTCCGGGCATTCAAAATGTGGCCCGGGAATGGAGTTCTGGGAACTCGAAGAGCACGAAGTGGCCTACAGTTGGCTCCGGGCATTCAAAATGTGGCCCGGGAATGGAGTTCTGGGAAATAGAAGAGCACGAAGTGGCCTACAGTTGGCTCCGGGCATCCAAAATGTGGCCCGGGAATGGCGTTCTGGGAACTCGAAGAGCACGAAGTGTGTGACTGTTGCATCCGGCCCCCCAGAATGTGGCCCGGGAATGGCGTTCTGGGATGTCGAAGAGCACTTTGTGTGTGACTGTTGCATCCGGCCCCCCAGAATGTGGCCTGGGAATGGAGTTCTGGGAAGGCGAAGAGCACGAAGTGTGTGACTGTTGGTGAAAAACGAGCCCGGCTCATGCCGCCCGGAAACGCCCCAACACCTGCCCGGACCCCCCTGCGGAGTGATCTGTGAGCTCTTTTGAGTCAACTAGAAACCTATCAGTCTTCGCTGTTAGGTAAAAAAGGTATCCATACCGCTACTCCCCCAACCTCTCCTGGGGTGCGTCGTGACCAAAACTTCGGGTCGAAGCCACCGGTGGCGACGAGAGCCTCCCGGAAGGCCCCCAAAATGGGAAAACGGGGAAGGGTAGCGGTATGGGTACCTCTTCCTCCTCCGACAAAAGACTTCCTCCCTCCCTGCCTCTTCGGCCGTCCCTCCTCCTCTCCCCGCGTCTCCCCGTGCAGAATTCGAGGTTTCACGGCCTGGCTCCCGCTCCGATCCGGGTCCCTACCACTCCTTCCCTCCAACTCCCCCCCTTAGCCCACATTCCTCCTCCGCATCCTCCACCCCTCCCGCCCTCCTTACCTCCCCACCTTGGGCGAGCAAAGCAAGTATCAATACCACTCCGCGGAGGGAGCCCGTCAGCGTGGTATGGGACGCGCAAGGACATACTGATACGATGCGCCTCTGTTGGAGATGCACGCCCAACCCGAAGATGTGGTACAACATCTTGGAGTATACCGTTTGCGGAGCGATACCGCCAGAAAACGAACGCCACGGAGCTTGTACTACAAGATTTCCGAACGTGCGCGTCGCCCTGGTGTGGGCGGTGCCGATGACACTGCAAAGAGAACACTAAGCGTCCTTCCACATGCGAAGGCGTATCACGCCGACGGGATTCTAGCGTCAGCGCGTAACTGATACTCCGTCTACCTCCTGACTCCTACACCGCTACGCCCCGCTCAATCATCCTTCATCCTTTTTTCTGCTTGCCATGCCTCCCTCCCATCCTCTCCCCTCCTCTTTAAACGCCCGAAAAGGGTACGGTAAAAAAAGGATGCGGTGCCCACCAGCATCTCTTGTCCAAAACCGACAGCGGCCGCTGTTGGGCAGGCAGCCTTCTGTCTCAAATGGACAACGTCGGCAACGACGCCGACAACGAACACGGTTCACACTAGACCAGAACTGCTGCCGCTCTTTGTGGCCATCCTTTCCGTATCCATGTCGAGCGTACCGATCCTGCCTCGAGCCCGCCCTCCTGTCCCCCACAGCCGCGGCCGAGGGCGGCACATCCGGAGCGGTGGACGCATCGGCCAACGACGCTGGAGGCCGTTTCTATTTCTAGCCGAGGGGTACAAGCACCAACGCGCGCGCGTCGACCGCCCCTCTTGGTCCTGCTCTTCCGAAGTTCTCCCTCCTCGCGAGCGGCGGACACATCATCGCGCTCTGGACTCCAGGGCGCGATCCCGAGGATACGGGGTAGCACGGACACACTCACACACACACAAACGCAAACACACACACACACACGCACGCACGCACGCACGCACGCACGCACACACACACACACACACACACACACACACGCACGCACGCACACGCACACACACACACACACACACACACACACACACACACACACACACGCACACGCACGCGCACACGCACGCGCACACGCACGCGCACACGCACACGCACACGCACACGCACGCAGCCAGACACACACACACACACACACACGTATAATATATATATATATATATATATCTATATATATATATATATATAATATAGATGCATATATATATATATATATATACATAACGGCGCACCGGGTCCGGGGGCCCGGGGCCGGGACCTCGACCACAAATGTGGGCCCCGGGGGGCCCGGAGGCTCGTCGGACCGCCGGACGCCGTCCAAGATCGTTCGCAGGCGGCTTCGGAACGCGCTCCGATGGCTCCAGATGCCTTCCAAGACGCCTGTCATGACACCAAGAAGGTCCCAGAAGCCTCCAAGACGCTCCGAGAGGCAGCCCAAGAGAGGCCCAAGAAGCAAAAATCGTGCCATTCCTATGGGAAAACGTATATTTTTCGCATGTTCGCCTCTTGGGCTTTCACCGCGTCCAAGACGGCCCAAGAGGCGCCCAAGACGGTCTACGAGGCCTCCGGGAGCGCTCCAAGGCTGCGCACGAGTGGCCCAGGACGGCCCCAAGACGGCCGAAGAGAGCCCCAAGACGAGTTCGAGAGGGGTCCCAGACGGAGAAAGCCAACCTCGAATTCCGAGCTTCCGGCCCAAGAGGCTCCAGGAGGCGCCAAAATGCCGCCAAGAGGCGCCAAAAGGCTCCCAAAAGCACCCCAAGACGTTCCGAGAGGCACCCCAAGAGAGGTCCAAGAAACAAAAATCGTGCCATTCCTATGGGAAAACGTATATTTTTCGCATGTTCGCATCTTGGGCTTTCACCGCGTCCAAGACGGCCCAAGAGGCCTCCAAGACGGCCTAGGAGGCCTCCGGGAGCGCTCCAAGGCTGCGCACGAGTGGCTCAGGACGGCCCCAAGACGGCCCAAGAGAACCCCAAGACGACTTCGAGAGGGGTCCCAGAAGGAGAAAGCCACTCTCGAATTCCGAGCTTCCGGCCCAACATATCCCAGGAGGCGCCAAAACGCCGCCCAGAGGCGCCAAAAGGCTTCCAAAATCAGCCCAAGACGTTCCGAGAGGCACCCCAAGAGAGGTCCAAGAAACAAAAATCGTGCCATTCCTATGGGAAAACGTATATTTTTCGCATGTTCGCATCTTGGGCTTTCACCGCGTCCAAGACGGCCCAAGAGGCCTCCAAGACCGCCCCAAGACGGCCCAAGAAGCTTCCAAGAGGGCCCCAGGACAGCCCAAGAGGGCCCCAAGACGGCCCAAGAGGCGCCCAAGATGGCCCAAGAGGGCCCCAAGACGGGCCCAAGAGGGGGCCCAGAGGGGGACCACGAACCGCAAGCTCGAGCCTTCCGCCCCAAGAGGCCGCCAGGAGGCCCCAAGGAGGCCCCTCAAGAGGCCCCAGGAGACCCCCAAGAGGCCCAAAGGAGGCCCCGAGAAGCCCCAAATCGGCCCCCAAAATGCTTCGAACCTGCTTCCAGGAGGCCCCCGACAGGTTCAGAGGCTCCCGAGAAGCTACGTCAAACTCCCAGCGAGCGGCCGGACGAGGCCCCCCACAAAATCACAAGAGGGTTCCAGTATTTGTATCCTTCAGCGCTCTCTGGCCTTCTTCCCCCTGCCCCCTTCCCTGCGACTTTCGTTGACTCAAGCTCGCCTCCTAGCTAGAACCTAAGCGCGCGCGAAGCGCGCGCGTGGTTCTAGTATATATATATATATATATATACATATATATATATATATACACACACGCACTTGCTCACAAGCGCGAAGAAGACCTGTGGCACGAAAGGGGGGACGAGGGAGGAGGGGGAGGTGGGCGGGTGAAAGACGTCGAAGGAGCTCCGCCTGGAGCTGCTGGCATTGGCCTCAGTCCGGCGGCCCGGCCAACGCGGCGAGCCGCCGGCGCAGCACTGCACGCCAGACCGCCTCGGCCCCCCGGGCCCCCACCGCAGGGACGAGCTTGAGCGCGGCGGCGCGGGAGCGGAGCGGCCCAGCCAGGGCAGGGCTGGGCCGCCAGGGCCTGCCTCCGCGGGGCAGCCGCGCCGCACCGGAGGCAGGCGACCCAACCGAGGCCCTGCGAGGCCGAGTCCCGTGTCCATGGGTTCACGGTCCCGGCCCTGCGAGGCCGCGGATGCGGTGCTCGTCCCTTCTCCTCCTTCTTCCCGACCTCTAACCTCTTAGGAGGCAACTCCTGGGAGGTCTTCGTCAGAACGGCTAGGTGCTAGCCGGTTCAGGGGCCACTAAGCTGGATTATGTCACACTAAGTCCAAATCTTACACCCGATGTATCCAGACAGTGCGGAATAATGCGGTACGATGCTGGTGTTCGGCCGCGGATATACCAGCGCCGATGCTGCACTGAATCTCCCAAACATTGCGTCCTAAGATCACCTACCTTGACAGGTCAATATGTTCGGGTCAGCGCTGAAGGTCAAAAGTGGCTGCAATCCCACAAGCCCTCTGGGCTTAGGTGGTTTAGGAAACGTCGGTCGGAATAAGTAGGTAAGAACATGAAGTCGGAAGGTGGATAAAGTCCGCCCAGAGAGCAACACAACGCAGCAACAACGTATCGATTCTCTCAGTAGGAAGGCGCTTGGAGAAGATTGGGATCTGGGAATCCCGAAAGGCCTACTTCCAACGACCGGCGTGTATTCAAACCCGCCGTATTCAAACCTCCGCCACTACCCCTCGGCCGGGAGGCGTCGCCCCTCGACCAATGAAGCCTCCCGGAGGCCTGTCGGGCGCCGCTTCGGGGGGTGCTCCAGACCGCCTCTCTGTTGCGGGCCACGCGGGGCCTACTTGGCGCTGACGACGCCGCTTGGGATCCTGTTTCGGCCATCTCGGTGGCCTCTTAAGGCCGTTTTGGCCCTCAGTTCGGCCCATGTTTGGGCTTTCGTGGGGCCGTCTTGGAAACTCGACGAGGCGTTTGGGGGCGAAGCGGGGAGAAGGCCACAAGAAATCTACCCCTGGCAATAGGGACCGAATGAAATATGCTGGCCGCGACGAACCTCGGCCACTGAAGGACTCCACGGCCTAGACCCATGGAACGGCCAGATGTTAGCCAGCGCGCACCAGAAAAATGTGTCCTAGCATACGACGTTGTGCAATCTATGCGGTGCAACTCACTTGCCGAACTTGAAGTTGTCAACTCCACTGCTCGCGCAATCATCCCACCCACCCACCCGCAACTTGGTTTGCAAAACCCATGCGGAAGCGATTGCAATGAGTACATCTCTGCGCCGAGAGCTCCGGGACCGAGCACAGATATCGCTCCGGGGTCGTCTTGGAGCCCTCGGGGGCGCCTCAAGAGCGCCGCAAGAAGGCCAGAGAAGCAAGAAGGCCGACGACGACGACGACGGCGGCGACGACGACGGCGGCGACGATGACGACGCCGACGTCGACGAAGACGACGACGACGACGCCGACGCCGACGACGACGACGAAGACGACGACGACGTCGCCAACGAAGACGACGACGAGGGAGGAGGGAGGACGACGACGGCGACAACGACGACAACGACGACAACGACGAGGGAGGAGGGAGGACGGCGACGACGCGAACGACGAATCAGGAGGAAGGACGGCGACGCCGACGACGACAACGACGAGGGAGGAGGGAAGACGACGACGACAATGACGACGACGACGACGACGACGGCGACGAAATAGGAGGGACGACGGACGACGACGACGACGAGGGAGGCTGAGGAAGGACGACCACGGCGACAACGATGACGGAAACGATCACGACGCCAGAGGACGACGACGACGAACACGAGGAAAGACAGAGGACGACGTAGGCAACGACGACGACGACGCGGGAGGAGGGAGGACGGCGACGACGACGACGACGACGCAGGAGCGCGCGCGCACGCTTTTGTTGAAAATCCGTGTTGCGAAACCTTGTGTTGTTGTAGGTTTTTTTGGACACACGATTTTGTAATCCTTCCGAAACCGATGGGTTTTCACGGATTTCGGCATACGCGCGCGACGACGCGCGCGTCTGCCCTTCGTCCAATGTTTTGCAGAGGATTCTCGCGACGGCACACGCGCAAGAGCATTCGATAGATTTCGACATGCGCGCGCGAAGCCCGTTTGGTAGCATTTTGTGAAAATCTTGAGAAACCTATGATTTCCTGAAGATTTCGCAAGAGTTCGCGCGTAAGCTTTTGTAGGAAGTCACTGTTGCGAAACCCTGTGTTTTTGTATGTGTTTTGGAAACTCGATTGCGAAACCCCTTCGACACCGAAGGTTTTCGAAGGTATTCGGCATGCGCGCATGAAAATGCGCGCGTGTGCACTTCGTCCCATTTGTTGCAAGGGATTCGTGAACAAGTCAGATGCTAGAACAAAAAATGTCCCCGCGTAATGTTTTTTGTGCATGGGAACCTCGGGGGGACCGATCCCGGCCCCCAGGGATAATGCAATTCATATTTAGGATGGACATGTGGTCAACATCATATTTGATTTACATACCGGAAGGGGGACCGATAACGCCGGGGGGGTAGAGTCTATTCTCTTTTGGGAAAGGGAAATGGATGGCGTGCAACATATGTGGTGGAAGCTTTGTGGTGCAATCTGTGGTACGCCACATATGAGGTGCAAATATTCTTGTGCACTACTCGTGGCGTGATCCACGTACGTCAATAAATGTAATGTCATATGTGTGGTGTAGCCCATGACAAAAAAACAACGTCTGTTGTGTAGGCTACGTCGTGCAATCTAAATATTGCGACCTACCGACCCTGTCGGCGTGTGTGAGGGGCTTCTCCGTTCGACTCGTCGTCTCCGTCGTCTCCGCTCTCCCCCTCCCAGGGCTCTCCTCCTCAAGCGCGCTATCCAAAGCGAAATTAAACGACGTCGTAGTGGAGTCGAAGGGAAGCCCCTTCCCTTTGATCCCTTCCCCGCAGGGGGGGGGGGAGGGGGGGGGGCAGGGCAGATACGACGCCCGCGGGGCGCACTTTCCTCGAGCGGGCACGCACGGGATGCACTTCCTCCTCCTCCTGGTCCTCCTCCTCCTTTCCTCCTCCTCCTCCTCCTTCCTCTCCTCCTTTTCCTCCTCCTCCTCCTCCACCTCTTCCTCCTCCTCCTCCCGCAGAGGCGTCCGGGGAGCGAACCCCGAGTCAAAATACAACCCCCCTGGGGCGCATTTTCCTCGCGCGGGCACGCCCGAGATGCAGTTCTTCCTCCTCCGGGAGCACGTCCCAAATCAGAATATCACACTCCCGGGGCGCACTTTCCTCGAGCGGGCACACAAAGGATGCACACTCCTCCTCCTCCTCCTCCTCCTCCTCCTCCTCCTCTTCCTCCTCCTCCTCCTCCTCCTCCTCATCATCATCATCATCATCATCATCATCATCATCCTCCGCTTCCTCCCCCCACTCCTAGCCCTTTCGATCAGTGTCGGCGGCACCGGCCGTCAGGCCTCTCCAATATTGCGAGCTACGTAGTGCAGTCGATATGGTGCAATGTGCGCGGTGCAACCTTTTGCGGCGCAATTGATTCACAAATGGGTTGACAAACTCCATGCTGATGCAAGCATCCCACCCACCCGCACCCGACCGCAACGTGGTGTGCAAAACCCATGCGGCGGCGATTGCGATGAGTGCTCGGCGTTGGCTGGTGCACCTGTGCGGCCGCGCTGGCCCGCGCATGCTCGCGCGCAAAACGGCCAGCTAGTTTGGCGCGACCGACGCGGCCGCAGAGGCGGTAACCGCGAAACACTTCCCAACGGAAGTTCCACTGTGAACCGGTGACGTGGGCGAACGCGGTATCATGGCGACGCAGACAACGGTGGACACGATTATGAGAGTAGCCATGATGATGACGATGGTGGCGAAAAGGACGGCAAGGCCAATGACGGCGCCGATGTTGATCACGCCCACCGATAACGATGACGATGTCCCCGCGCCGGCAATGAAGATGTTTCGACGTGCTCGCGCGGCCGACGCGCGCGAGTGGTCCGCGGGATATTATTTGACGCGGATCCCTTCCCAGCACGCGCGCAAAGGCGTTCGAGTGAATTCTACACGCGGCGCGAAAAGACTCGCTTGGCGGAATGCGATGAACATGTTGGAACACCGTTGGTTTTCCTACAAGCAGGCAAGAACGCGAGCGCAGGATTGTGTTTCCAACACTGATGTTGCAAAACAATGCTTTTCCATAAAAGTACGCGGCCATTCAAGTTTGAATTCCCTGCGAAACGTTTTTTTTTTTTTTTCTGGGATTTCGGCATGCGCGCGCGGTGACGCGCGCGTGTGCTCTTCGCCCCACCTGTTGCAAAGGATTCTTGCGACAGCACGCGCGCAGTGGCGTTCGAACGATTCCGGCACGTGCGCGCGAGAGGCCAATTTGGGATCATATTTGTTATGTGAGCAGAAACATGCTTGTATACTTATGCATCCACGTGTATGTTTACACCTATAAACAATTCTTTAAATATATAGAACGTCTGCTTTCTTGAAGGCTCGCAATAGAGCGATGGCATTGTTGGTGCTGTCGCAAATATGTGTTGCGATGCAATGCGTTTGTTTTACATGTTCTCGTTTGCCCCATCCTTACAATACCCAAACCGTGTGAAAGATTTCGGCATGCGCGCGCGGCGATGCGCGCGTGCGCACTTCGTCCGAATTTGCTCTTGCCAAGGACTTGTGAACGCTGGTGATTTCCAGCGAACGAGTGCTCACGCATAGCTTTTGTTGCAACGAATGCTGGGCTGGGATGATACGAGCTCAAATTTAAGATGGACGATCGGGCAAAATCACATGCAACTTGCTCTACGGAAAAGTGGACCGTTAACACGGGGGGGGATCCTAATACTCTTTTAGAAAGGAAATTCCTCCCAGCCGAATTTGAAAGTGTTAACTAACTTCAGCGTTCGCGCAATCATCCCACCCACCCACCCGCAACTTGATTTGCAAAATCCATGCGGCGGCGACTGCGATGGCTGCACGGCGCTGACTGGCGCATCTCTGTGGCCGCGCTAGCCCGCGCATGCTCGCTCAGAGCGGCCAGCTAGCCTGGCGCGACCGACGCGGCCGCGGTGGCGCTGACCGTTTGGGATTTTCCGACACGTCTCGCAAGCCGCGCTGACGCGCGGGCACTTCAATGCGAGTCGGTGACTCGTGTTTGCTTGTCTGGGTGCAGGCTTCGGTGCCTGCCCTTGGGAGCACTGCCCCTGGGGTGTAGCCGAAACGCTTCCAAGCCCACCTCACACATCCGCCTCCTCCTCCTCCTCCTCCTCCTCCTCCTCCTCCTCCTCCTCCTCCTCCCCGCCTCGCCGAAGCGCTTCGTCGCCGAACAGCTCGCCGAATTCTAGGGCCAGCTTGCCGTCGATGAGGGAGGCCGCGCCGATGTCGTACCCACTCCTCGCAGGAAGCAAGCCCGTCGGAGAAGGATGAGGAGGGCAACTGCGTGGGCGCTCCGCGGGGCTTCTCGCTCGCTCACCCTGCAATTCACTCGTCTCCGCGGGCTACGCGTTCTCGTCCGCTTCGTAACTCCCCCCCAGCAGCATGCGGTCACGCGGCCTTCGGGGAGGTCCCACCACTGGCACCTCGTCGTCCTACCACCAGCATCTCGTCCTCCTCCTTCTCCTCCTCCTCCACCTTCCGCCCTCCTCCATCCTGCCTGCCTCTTTCGTTTCCTCTCCCTCCCTCTGTCCTCCTCCTCCTCCTCCTCCTCCTCCTCCTCCTCCTCCTCCTCCTCCTCCTCCTCCTCCTCCTCCTCCTCCTCCTCCCCCTCCTCCCACTCCTCTTCCTCACCCTCCTCCTCCTCCTCCTACTCCCCCTCCTCCTGTCGAGCCCGTGACCCAATGCCCAACCCATTGCCGAGATGTCCCACATACGCACACACATGCACCTCCAACGCAATCGTGCAGCTCTCTGGTCCCACCGTGATATAATGAAGGAGGAATGGGGAGGGCGGGAGGCAGAAGAAAAGGAGAGAGAGAGAGAGAGAGACAGAGAGAGAGGGAGAGAAAGAGAGTTGGAGAGAGAGAGAGAGAGATGGAGAGGGAGAGAGGAATGCAAGGGAGGCAGGGGCCAGGGGCAGGGGCTAGGAAAGGAACGAACAAATCGATGAAGACGCCAGGGACCTTTGACACCATAACCTTGTAGCAAAAAGCTAACTGATTCGCTGCTTCCGCCTTCAATCTGCCAAGAAACAACAAAATGGGTTGCTGACGTGCACGCTCGCACTTCGGATTCACCCATGGCCTCCACTTCCGTCCTGAAAGTGCCATGTTTCCTGGAAGCGACTTCCATCCTATTCCTAAAAAAACGGCCCATGCCTCCTCCTCCCCCAACCACGCGTCAATGTGATACCTGGCGCCTGCGGCCGTCTGCGCCTCTCCCCAGCGTCCGTCTAAACGTGCCCGCAACTTTCAGTTGTGGGTGGCTTGGAGAAAAGCTCGCTCCAAGGGAGGTTGCGTGGTGAAGATCGACACGGCATGGTTGCCTTGTCTGTCCATGGTGTATTTTGCCATGGCACCCGCTTTCGTGTGAAAATCTCGCGGCCCCCAGCGGCACCAGTCCGCACCTGAAGAGCTTGGCTGCACCCAGCCTGTCCGCCAGCACTCATACAGGGCGCATTGGCTAGAGTGTCCTAAGGCGCTGCGCGCGGGGTTGGTGCAACGGTCAACTGCGTCCAACCACCAGGCAGCCAGCTGCCAGCTGGCTGTCCCCGATGACGTCAATAAGGATCGTCCCCTGTGGCCCTTGGCGTCGCTGCAGCTTGTCTTCGCCCTCCTTCCTGGCCTCCCCCGCTCTTCGTGGTTTTTTCTATTCAATGATAGCGTCTGTGTTTGTCTCTCAATATTCGCATGAATTGGAACTCTTTGCGTCGCTCCATCTTCCGGCCTTCTCCGCTCATGCCGATCTGCCCCAAATCACAGAAACACAGATCCTCTCCACAGCCCCCGACTGCCCCTCTGGACCGCAGAACCAACTAATGAAATCTTCCCCATACCTCTACGGCACTGGCACCGGCCAACACCGCGGAGGCCAGGTTGACCGCCTTCTGGGCGAACTTGTGAACACGAGCAGTAGTGTACTCACGCTGTGCGTTCTTCGACACTCTGGCGCCTGTGCACCCTCCCGTCCGTCTCGCGGCGACGGCGGAGCGCCGCAGAGCCATCCGAGCCCTCGGCACGGACCCCCAGCCAAACCTGTATCCCGGAGAGTACCTCCAACAGCTGCTGGAATCTGTGACGACGGGGGAGCGCTCGGTCCTCGAGCGGCGTGGACACCAAGCGCTCATGACGTCTCCTGCACGCGCGCTCCGCGAACGATTCCGTCGTCTCGCCTGGGCACTTGGGGGTGCGCGTCACGGTGCGTGGCAGATAACCTCCAATCTTGCTTGGGTGATCCAACGTGCCCTTCTGAAACGGCCTGCTTCGCATATACACAATCCGCCACCGTGCCCTCGACACGAGCTTGAGTGTCCTCAAGTCCTCTGTCCGATCCCCTAGAGCATCAGTCCTCAATCCTGAGAATGCTTGAGAAAGCCGGGACACGAACTTGCCAAATCTTCCGGGGCCCGCGGCGTGCCCCATGTGACTCCCAGCGTGCCGGGGCGTGTTGTGACATGATTTCCTCGGGCCCAAGACGGGCGAAGAGGGCCCCAAAAGAGGCCCCCAAGACGATCCAAGTGGGCCTCGAATCGCCGAACGATCGGCCCACGACGCTCAAGACGGCTCCAAACGACCCAAGAGGCCGCCAAAATGCCCTGAGGAGCTCCAGGAGCACTCCCAAGAGGACCTCGAGAGGCCAAAATGGTAGATTCCCCATCGCGCTTTGACAGATTTTAGCGTTTCCGCTTTTTCGTTCTTCCGACGCTCCAAGGCGGCCCAAGAGACCCGCCCCCAAGACCGCCCCAAAACGGCCCAAGAGAGCCCCCAAAGGACCCCAAGCTGGCCCCAGAGGGCGCTAAGACGACCCAAGAGGCGCCTGAGACGGCCCAATACGGCCCCAATACGGGCCAAGAGGGGGTACACCAACCAAAAATCCAATCTGTTCGCCCCAGGAGGCCCCGGGGCCCCAAGAGGCCCCCAAGAGACCCGAAAGAGTCCCCAAGAGGTCCTGGGAGGCCCCAAAAGGCCCCCAAGAGACGCCCAAAGGTCCCCAAGAGTCGTACACCAGACTGGCCCCGTAGAGGCGTCAAAACAGGCCCCAGAGATGCCTCCCATGAGATCCCAACGAACGTTCAAAAAAACACCAATCATGCCCGAAGAGGGACCCGAGACGCGGAACACGAGACGGCATTTCGGGCTCTAGTATGGCTGAGGTCGTACCTGCTTGGTGCCACTTGGGTCATGCCGTCTGTTTTGATACTCATTGTGGCGTGCGGACGATATCACTCAAGTGGAATTTGGTTGGTGCCACTGGAGACACACAGACGAAACAGCTCAAGCGACGCCAACTTGATGCCACTGCAGGGATGCACGCGATATGATTGAAGTGGCAATGTCTAAACCTTTTTTGGGGGGGACAATTGAACGAGTAGTGATTCCCAGTGCTGCAGTGCGCAAATACAAGCAACAGGGAAAGCGGTGCAAACCTGACCGGCGGGGACGTCCCCGCGACCGCCATCTCGAGGCCACCTTGGGCATCGTGGAACGCTTTGTGGCTGTCTTGGGGGCCTCTTGGACCGCCTTTGGAGCTCTCTTGGCGCCTTCTGGTAGAATCTCCAGCCACCCGGCGCGATCCCAACGCGCTCGTGGGTCCCTGGTCGAGGGGCCGCCCTGGGAGCCACCAGCCCTGTCCCCATCATTTGTATAATATGATATAACATGACATAGTATTAGATTCGGTTATGTACTATTAGCATATATAATAATATGCGACCTACAAACGTACATACATACATGCATACAGACATACATACATAAATCCATACATATATGCATGCATGCATGCATGCATGCATACATGCATGCATGCATACATACATACATATATGCATGCATGCATACACACATACACACATACATATATCGAGACATCCATACATACATACATACACTAGAGCCATCGCGCGCGCTTCGCGCGCGCTCAGGTTCACCGAAATCCCAGCTCGCAATGAGATGCCGAGGGCTTGGCGACGGTTGCGGATATGGCTGTATCCCGAATGCGCTGTGGAAACACGTGGTGAAGAGCCTTGGGCCTTGGAGTCCGTGGGGGGCCTGCTGGCGATCTTCGGGGTCCTCGTGGGGCCGAGGCCTCAAAATATTAGTTCGCATTTCCCGCCCACGAGCCCCTTTGGGGGCCTTCTAAGGCGGTCCTGGGTGCCTCTTGGACCGTCTTCAGTTCCTCTTGGGCCGTCTTGGGGCCCTCTAGGTGACCTCTTCGGCCGTTGGGGGGCTCTCCTAGGGGCCTGTGGGCACGTCTTGGACGCTGGGCACATGAAAACAACGATTGCGATAGAAATGTACGCTTTCCCACAGGAACGGGCCGATGCTGCTTCTTCGGGTTCTGGTGAGGGCCCTCGTGGCTTGATGCATCCTGGAGCCAGCTGGCGATCGTCGGGGGCCTGTTAGGGCGGAGGCCTCGAAATGTGGGTTCGAATTCCCCCCGCGGGGCCCCTGTTGGCGCTCTCTTCGGCCGCCTTGGGCGGTCCTGGGTGCCTCTTGGACCGTTTGCTTCTCCCCAGGACGCAGGTGTCCATGGTGGACGCGCGAAGACCGAACCATCATTCCTGTTCACTATACGCGGCTGGCCCCCATGGTTTCCTGCCACTGCTACGCACAAGAAACTAAAGTCAAGCATGTTATCGAAATCGCCATCGTTGGAGTTTACAGTGGAATGAAAGGCAACCCCATTTCTCGCTGCGAATGTGTACTGCGTGGGTCCCTCTCGGACCGTCATGGGGGCCTGAGCCCGCCTTCGGGCCCTCTTGGCGCCCTCTCCGACCAAGTCGGGATCCTCCGGTAGCCCCCTCGGGCCCCCTGGGGATTCTCTTCGGCCGCCTTGCAACTCTCTTGAGCTGCTTGAATCTCTTGTCAGGCCGTCTTGGTGCCCACCTGGGCCGCCTGGGGCCGGTTTGGGAGCCTTTGGGGCCGTCGTGGCCGCTGATAGGACTGAAAAAGCGAAAATCCCAGAAATATGCGTTTTTCAATCTGATTTTGATTTTAGATTTGCCCTTGGGGGGCCTTCTCGGCGGCCTCTGGGACCGCCTTGAAGGAATCCTTTTGGGTCTAATTAGATGGCCCGTCTGATGACCCATTCTGGCCGTCCTGGGCCCCCCTTGGCCCGTCATGGGGACCTGAGCCCGTCTTGGAGCCCTCTCCGACCACGTAATTAGGGATCCTCTGGTGACCCCCTCGGGCTCCCTGGGGACTCTCTTGGGCCCTCTCTTGTGCTGCGTGAGTCTC